TGGGTGTGTGTGTGGGTGTGTGTGTGGGTGTGTCTGTCTGTCTGCCTTGCCGACCTATTGGCTTCTTCTCTCTCCGACCGTTTTCCCCAGATCTAAAGGCCGGCTCCATCGCCGTGACCCCCAATGGCCACCTGGAAGCTTCTCCGACCCGGAGCCAGCCGGTGGGATATTCCCGGAGTTCCCTGCACCACGTTCCCAGCTCCCGGAGAAGCAGCCTCACCTCTCTCAGCCGCGGAAACTTCGACCAGAAATCTTTGGTCAGCAATTTATCGCAGACCTCTCACACGCATCTGGGCAATAAACCTCGGGGTTAGGGGATGGAGAATAGTGTAATAAATCTATATAAATGGGGAGGGGGGGTAGGGTATAGTGTTGTATAATATCCCCAGGGTGGGGGCAGTAAATTGTCTAAATAATACTTGGGAAAGGGGGAAAGAGGGAGAGAGGTAAAGGAGTGAGGAGAGGGAATATCACACCAAAACATCTCAAACCGCTTTAAGTGGAATAAATCTAGACCCTGGGGGGAATCTTCCCCTCCACCTGTCTCTTCCCCCCCCCCCCACCCATTCCCACTCTCTTCCCCACCCCACCCGCCTGTCCGTCCGTCCACCCCTCTCCCTCCCCATGCTCTCTCTCTCTCTCTCTCTCTCTCCCCCTCCCTCACCGCGCTCTCTTCCCCGCTTCCCCCTACCTCTCCGCCTCCCACTCCCGCTCTCTCTCACCTCGCCCCTCTCCCTATCTCTCCCTCGCTTCCCCCCATCTCTCTCTATACCACTCCTCTCCCTCCCTCCCTCGAGCCAAGCCTGGCTCTACCGATCATCTCTAATGATTGCTCCCAACGGACTAGTGACTTGCTGGGCGCTGAGGCATAAGTGGGTTATCAGTGACAGATGCCACTTACTCTGTCTTAATGCAGTGGTCACAGACATGGTTGACGTTGGCATTATCGCTGCTCCTAAAATAATAGTTAATTCACTTACAAATTGCTGCCCAGACTCTCTCTCTCTCTCTCTCTCTCTCTCTCTCGTGCCACAAACATCTCCGCGCCCGATGTCTCAGAAAGCCACGGGTTGTGACACGACGTCAATGGGCAGGCGATGGGGTCTAAGCTGGTTGGACTCCAGCACTTACCCCCACAACAACGCACACCCTGGGCTCTCCCCCCCCCCCCCCACCCCACCACCCCCCCCCCCCTCCAAGGCATGGCTCTTGCTAACCCGCACCTATTTCCGGATCGCTTTCCCTGGAATTAGGTGAGCAGGAGGTGTGAGAGAGAGAGAGAGAGAGAGTGGGTGGGGGGGGCATTCACAACCCATCACTCAACCCACAACTACATCACGACGCCTCAAAGAGCTTCCCAGCACATACGGTAAAGTGTAGTGACTGTGTTTTGTGACGCTATTCTCTGTTCTCCCCCCCCCCCCCCCCCACCCACCACACCCTCCCCACCACCACCGTGTCCCAGACCAGCGGGCGCAGCTCTCACTACCTCCCCTGGGGGGCTGGGGGCAGTCGTCGTTCCAGCTGGACCAGCATCGGACGCTCCTCGAGCCTGAAACGCAAGCCCCCGAGCGGGGAATACGAGTCGCTGCTGTCGGGGGAGGAGCGGCGAACACCGGGCAGTGAGGGCGAAGACCCCCAACTCCTCCCCGCCCAACCCCCAGACCCCCGCAAGTCTCGCCGGGCCCTTTCGCTGGACACCCAGGAGCCCTGCCAGCTTCCGCGGACCCCCGGCTCCCAGCCCCACCCTCCGCACAGGAAGGTCAGCCTCTCCCCCACCCCCAGGAACTGCAACGGGGAAACCCCCCGCCTCGTCAAGGAGGTTTTCCCCAGGGTCAACGCCAGGAACGAGAGGGCGGGCGACGAGGACGAGATCGATTATGTAAGTGGTTCCCGATAGCCCACTCCTGTCATCAACGCTCCCCCCACCCCTCCCCCCCCACCCCAAAACCCAACCCAAACCCCAAACCCCCATATACACCCACAACTGCCCCCTTCTTCCAAACCACTGCTCCACTCATACCACACACACACACACACACCAAACAGCTCCCTCCATAACCCCCAAAACTTACACAGCCCTCTTCCCCCTCCTCCGCCCCCACACCCCGATGCCCTTCTGCCCGCCGCCCCCTCCCCTCCCGGCCCAGTGAAGTGACTGTCTCTCTCTCTCTCTCTCTCAGAGCCTGTGGTTCCGAGTTCAGAAGATGATGGAGGTCTACAAGCCGGCCTGGTGCGAGAGCCGGGAGCATTGGTCAGTCTACCTGTTTTCCCCTCAGAACAGGTGAGTGAGTGAAGGTGAGAGGCTCTTTGGCCACAGGCATTCAACAGACACACACACACACACACACAGGCACACTCACACCACACACACACACCCCCGTGCTCGTCTCACAAGGGTTCGATTCCCGCGCAACCGGCAGGTGTTTCGGGCAGAAAATACAGTCAATTCGCTTTACAGGGTGTCCTGTGAAGCGCTTTGCGACGTCTCGACGACGCGATAAGGCGCCGGGTCCAACGCAAAGATTATTATGATGATGATGATGAGGAGGAGGAAATAACCCTGAGTTTGCTCTCTGACCCCCACGAGGTTCCGGCTTCTGTGCCAGATGATTGTCGCTCACAAGCTGTTTGACTATGTGGTCCTGGCCTTCATCTTCCTCAACTGCATCACCATCGCCCTGGAGAGGCCTGAGATCGCACAGCCCAGCACCGTGAGTCACCCTCTCCCAGCAGCAGCAGCAACAACAACAACGACAACTCGTGTGCTCCTGTAGCTCAGTGGTTAGAGAACCCCTCGCCTCGCTAGCCCGGGTTCGATTCCCGGGCAGGTCGGGGCGAAACCTTAGGCAAGTTTCCTTATCACACACAACGCACGCGCGCGCACGCACGCACGCACGTACGCGCACACGCACGCACACGCCTCTGTTCACCCAGCAGTAAGTAGGAACCCACTTGTTAGTCGATTGACGCACCTCTCTCTCTCTCTCCCCCGCGACCTGACTGTGTGCATAATGGCTGCCGTGTTTCGCCCACAAAAGCACACGGTCACTAAACTACACTTTGCCGTAAAAATCAGCGAAGCACTTTATTTTTTTGGAGACGTGCTCAATGACACACCATCATCATTAACGATATTGAAAACCAGATCTGTGCTTGTGACCTGTTTGATTTGCCGTCTGCAGGAACGTCTTTTCCTCAGTGTCTCCAACTACATCTTCACAGCGATCTTCGTGGCTGAGATGGCTTTGAAGGTGAGAGTGGAGGTGGGGGGTGGGGGGGCGTGGAGGGGGGGGGGTGGCAGAGCGGGCCGGTGGGGGCTCAGAGCACGTTTGACAAGCCAGCTAGCCGTAGGGAGGAGATTCCCTCAAAGCACGGACCAGCCTGGCTCATCGGCAGGATTTAACCAGTCACTGGGGGCAGAGAATCCTTCCCCTCACTCAGCTCCTGTTAACCCAAAGCCCTAACTAATAGGTAGGGTGGTCCTGGGGGGGGACTCTCCATGGGGTTGTAGCTGGTTAGACTCCAGCAGTTTCCCCCAACGCACACTCTGGGCTCCCTCGCCAAGCCTTGGCTCTTGCCAGCCTGCGCCTAATACTCTCCGGAATTAGGTAAGCAGGTTGCGCACCCCCAGAGAGAGAGAGAGAGAGAGACAGAGAGGGAGAGAGAGAGAGAGAGAGAGAGCGCATTCCAGTCCAACAATCTATCTCAGGGCGTGTAGGTGGGGGACGCGTTGAGATCTCAGTCGCGTTTTAGGAGACTCTTAAGCAAAGGTGACGTGTCAAACCCCCCCCCCCACCCCCCCCCCCCAGAAAATGAGGCGCGGGTGGGGGTGCGAACGTGACGGGCGTGTGATTGTCGGGAAGAGAAAGAGAGAGAGAGGGAGGGAGGGAGACACACACAGACACACAAAGCTGCGATCCAATGATTGACGTAAATGAGGGAGAACAGAAAGCAGATGGGTTGGAGAGTCTGGGGATGGATTAGGCGGGGATTTGCAGGGTGACTGGCCACGGGGTTCGTGAGAGGCAATTTGTTCCAACAAACAGATCGTTTGATGTGCACAGATAACAGGTCACCTCGCAGGAGGTTGGCATTTTATAACTGTTTCACAGCCAGCAGCTACATACACCTGCATCCATCAACTCTCTCTCTCTCTCTCTCCCTCCCTCTCTCTCTCTCTCTCCCTTCCTCCCTCCCTCCCTCTCTCTCCCTTCCTCCCTCCCTCTCCCTTCCTGTCTCCCATCCGCTCTCGTTTCCTCTCTTGTTCCCTCATTCCCTCCCACCATCCCTCTCCATCCCTTCCTCCCTCCCTCCCTCCCTCCCTCTCTCTCTCTCTCTCTCCCTCTCCTGTTCCCTCGCTCACTCATTCCCTCTCTCCCTCCCTCCCTCCCTCATTCAAGGTACACCTCAAAACACATACCCCTTTGACCGTATTTCGAGTCATCTTTGCCATTTCCCCCCCACCCCCCCCATCCAGTCCCGTTCCTCCAATAAATTGGTCGTTCACCGCGAGCCTATGCTCAGCGTTCCCTGCCCGCAGTCACGTGTGCCCATCCACCGACACAGTCACTACACGTGACAACGTGACAGACTTTCCCTGTGCGGTTTGTGAGCGCATTGTTTCGCCCGCAAAACATCCAGTCACCACCCTTTACAGTGTGTCCCGTGAAGCGCTTTGAGACGCCTCGAAGACCTGATAAGGCTCTGGACCAGACGTAAGGATTATTATTATTGAAAGCGTTGGAGAATTGGGCTTTGGGAGAGAGCTCTGTATGGAATGCGAGGAATATAAAGTTCTCTCTCTCTCTTTCTGTATTTGTGTATAGACATATATTGTCGATGACCTTCTTGTCCCCTCTCTTGTCCAGGTCATCTCCATGGGCTTTTACGTTGGCGACCAGGCCTACCTGAGGAGCAGCTGGAACATCCTAGATGGCTTCCTGGTCTTCGTGTCGCTCATCGACATCGTGGTGTCGCTGGCCTCGGCGGGCGGGGCCAAGATCTTAGGGGTCCTGCGCGTCCTCAGGCTCCTCAGGACCCTCCGGCCCCTCAGGTGGGAAGCATGGAATTCTCGGTTAGGTTTGGAGACACGGTGACGGGTTTCCGTGCGCGCGCGCGCGTGTGTGTGTGTGTGTGTGTGTGTCAGACCAAAGCCAACTGCTCTTGTTGTCGTCGTTGTCGTGGACCTTCAGGGTGATCAGCCGAGCCCCGGGCCTGAAGCTGGTGGTGGAGACCCTGATCTCTTCCCTGAAGCCCATCGGGAACATCGTGCTCATCTGCTGTGCCTTCTTCATCATCTTCGGCATCCTCGGAGTCCAGGTAAGGACCCTCGCCTTAGGCAAGTTTCCTTACTCCCCACACACGCCTCTGTCTACCCAGGGTTGTTAGTCGATTGGCTGATTGCTTTCCGGGTGTGGGGAGTGGGGGAGGAGTAACAATTGGCTGTCGGGTTTCGCCCGAAAAATACACAGTCACTCCACTTTACACTGTATCCTGCGAAGCGCTTTGAGACGTCTCGACGACGTGAAAAGGCGCGACGTCAAGTCCGTACGTGGGTGTTTGCTTGTGTCAGCTCTCTTGTCTGGTCTCTCTCCACCGCCCGCGCCCCCCACCGTCCGCGCCCCCCCCCCCCCACACACGCACACACCCTCCCCCCTCTTTAAATACGACTGTTTGTGGGACATTGCTGTGCGCAATTGGCTGCCGCGTTCGCCCACAAATGTACAGTCAATTCACTTTACAGTGTGTGCTGTGAAGCGCTTTGGGACCTCCTCCCGACGTGAAAAGCGCTATATCAAATGCAAGGATTATTATTATTATTATTATTATAAATACAGAGCAGTCAATGCTGTTATCACTTCGCAGCCTCTGGCAGACGCAGTTCTGGGCACAAAGCCATCAACACTTTCAGCTCCTGCTATCGGCTCCGTCCATTGACCCGACACTTAATCTTCTGAAAACACTTATTAGCTCTCTCGGCTCTGCTGTTAATTGAAAGACGTTCCATCGATTCTCCTTTGAGCGTCTGTTTTCTTTCCATCTCCAGAGCACTTCCCGAACCCCCCCCCCACCACCCCCCCACACCACCTCAGCCGTGATTCCGTTTGCGCCTGGAAAAGGCAGACCTGTGCACACACACACACCCTCTTACACACACTCACACGCAGTTATACCCACACACGCACACACACTCACTCAGATGCAGTTACACACACACACACGCAGTCGTACGCTCACTCACGCACTTACACACACATGCACAAAGTTACACGCTCAGAGTTACACACACACACACAGCCGTACACTCACTCACACGCAGTTACACACACAATTACACACACACACACACAGTTATACACACACACTCACTCACATGCAGTTACACACACACACATACACGTACACTCACTCACACACAGTTACGCACACACACACTTACACACACTCACACACAGTTACACACACATACACTTACACTCACTCACACGCAGTTACACACACACATGCACTAAGTTACACACTCTCAGAGTTACACACACGCACACAGACGCATACAGACACACACACACACAGGGTTGCGGAGAAATTGATTTTAATTCGGAATCGGATTTCCTTTTTTAAGAGGTTTGATTTCTTTGCTCCCCCCCCCAGCCCATGATGGGCCCCTCACGCCACCCCACCTCCCCGCCCCCCACCGACAGACACACCTTCACGCACACACACACAGAATACAGCCTCGACTGTCAGCTCAAAGCCCCCAATGCATGAGGTGGGTCTGGGGCTTGAACCTACAACCTTCTGACACGCACCACAAATGCCCAGCCCAGTGGGGATATGTGTGTGAGTGTGTATATACGTGTGCATGTATATATGTGCGCGTGTGTGTATGTGTGTGAGTGTGTGTGTGTATGTGTGTGCGTGTGTGAGTGTGTGCATCTCCCAGTCAACTCCCTTTACAGTGTATCCAGGGAAACGCTTTGAGACGTCTTGATGACGTGATAAGGCGCTGTATTAAACGCAAGGATTATTACGTGTGTGTGTGAGTGTGCATGCGTGTGCGTGTGTTTACGTGTGCGTGATGTCTCTCAGCGGTTTCCATCCTCACCTCTTCCAGCTCTTCAAAGGCAAGTTTTTCTGCTGTCAGGGAGAGGACACGCGCAATGTCACCAACCGCTCCGACTGTTTGTTGGCGAACTACAAGTGGGTCCATCACAAGTACAACTTCGACAACCTCGGACAGGTACAGCCCTGTACAGCCATCCCGGCCCCCCAACCCGGCCCCCAGCCCCCCAGCCCGCCCCCCAGCCCGGCCCCCAGCCCCCCATCCCAGCCCCCCATCCCAGCCCCCCAGCACAGCCCCCCAGCCCGGCCCCCCAGCCCGGCCCCCCAGCCCAGCCCCCCAGCCCCCAGCCCCCCAGCCCAGCCCCCCCCAGCCCCCCTACCCCAGCCCCCAGCCCCCAGCCCCCAGCCTGAAACATGTGTGTCTGTCAGTCAGTCACCCGGTTCCCCAGAGGCTGTTCGTGGGACGTCGCTTTGCGCAATTGTGCTGCTGGTTATGCCCAGTCGCAGCGCGCAGTCACTACACTTGACAACGAAATCCCGCGACGCGCTGTGAGACGTCCTCCCGACGTGAGAGTTTCCCTCTCTCTCTCTCTCTTTCTCTCTCTCTCCTGGTTTCCCGGCCGACAATCCCTTGAAATCGCTCGCTCGCTTCCCGGCTGTTTGTCGGGAGTGTTGCTGTGTGTAGAGTAGGACTCTCTCTCCCCCTCTCTCTCCCCCTCTCTCTGTCTCGCTCTCTCTGTGGGTTCGGTGGTGGGTTTGTGTAGGTGTCAGACCCCCGGTGACTGGTGTCCCTCCGTCTTGCCTCTCCCCCGTTTCTCCCCCACCCCCCCCCCCTCCCCAGGCGCTGATGTCTCTGTTTGTTCTGGCCTCGAAGGACGGTTGGGTTAACATCATGTACAACGGGTTGGATGCCGTAGCCATCGATCAGCAGGTAAGGGGGGCTGTAAGGTGCTCAGATCAAAGCCTCTCCTCATCGAGAGGGTGGAGAGAGAGAGGGAAGAGGAAGAGGAAGAGATAGGGAGAGAAAGACAGGGGAGAGGGAGAAAGAAAAGGGTAGAGAGTGAGAGAGTGAGTGAGAGAGAGTGAGAGAAAGAGTGAAATAGAGAGGGATTGAGAAAGGAAGAGAGAGGGAGGGAGGGAGTGAGAAAGAAAAAGAAGGGAGTGAGAGAGAGAGAGGAACTGGGAGAGGGAACGAGCGAAGAGAGAGACAGAGAGAGGAGGAAGGAAAGATTGATGCGAGTCAGAAGCTCGTGGGTTCGAGCCCCTCGACTCCCAGGGTCCGTGTCCTGCTCGGGGCGGACAGTAAAGATCTGCTAAACGTGGCTTGGGTGGTGGGGGGGTGGGGGTCGAAGGTAAGGTCCGTTGGCTTCACGGATCGGTTTGCGATGGTGGGAGGGGTTGGTGGGGAACGTCGGGCGGAGAGCTTTGCGGCGGGACTTTTGGGATAAGACGGCGGACCTTTTTTCAGCCCATCACGAACCACAACCCCTGGATGCTCCTCTACTTCATCTCCTTCCTGCTGATCGTCAGTTTCTTTGTGCTGAACATGTTCGTGGGGGTCGTGGTGGAGAACTTCCACAAGTGCCGGCAGAACCAGGAGGCCGAGGAAGCCAAGCGCCGCGAGGAGAAGCGCCTGCGGAGGCTGGAGAAGAAACGCAGGAGTAAGGAAGCTTCTAGAGGCCCCGTGGGCGCGGTGGTTCGTGCTTCCAGTCCCCGGTCCAGTCCTCGGCGTGAGATCGATCGTTAGGCTGTACTTTCCCACCCCATCAGGGAACCCCGCGAAGGGCTTCGAGACGTCTAGAGGATGTGTTAAGGCGCCGCGACAAATGCCGGGACTATTATTGTGATGGTGTAGACCTTAGCAGAGTTTCCTTACTCCGCACACGCGGGCGCCAACACAGACACACACGCGCACACACGTGCACAAACGCGCGCGCGCACACACACTCACACACCCCCAAAAAATGCGGTCACTCAATCCACCGCTGTGCGCAGTTGGCTGCCGCGTTCCGCCCACAAAACACGCGGTCACTCCACTTTACGGTGTATCCCGTGAAGCGCTTTGAAACGTCTCGACGATTATTATTATTATTATTAATTCTCCTCCCTCCCTCCCTCCCTCCCCTCCTCTCCTCCCTTTCGTTCCCTTTCTCCCCACCTTTTCCCCACGGGAAGGGGCTCAGCGGTTGCCCTACTACGCCTCGTACTGTCCAGTGCGTCTCTTCATCCACACCCTGTGCACCAGCCACTACCTCGACCTCTTCATCACCTTCATCATCTGCATCAACGTCATCACCATGTCCCTGGAGCACTACAACCAGCCCACGGTAAGCGAATCTAACCTAAACGGGGTTGGGTTGGGGGAGGGGGGAAAGGGGGCGACAGCGAAGTGGGTGGTGGGGGGGGGAATCAGTGTCCTGAAACAACCCCCACCCCCCCCTCCCTGGGGAGAGCAAGAGGTGAAGAGAAAAAGAGACTCTCCGGACGCAGTATGAGATGTTAAATGGATGCACTGCCCGGAGTCTGCGGAGGTCTGGCTAATGAAATCAGAGCGCTATTCATCCCAGTAATTAAAGTCTCTGCCCGTCCGAGGTGAGTGAGGGCCGGGAGCTGCTGCCGAGGGCTACTGTCATCTTTGTCTGCACTGAGTAATGATAATCCTCCCCCTCACACCCCCCCCCTGGGATTTAATCACAATTATCCATTAGTCGGGTATGTGTGTATGTATGTGTGTGTGCGTGTGTGTATGTATGTGTGTGTGCGTGCGGGTGTCTGTGTGTGCGCGGGTGTGTACGGTGTGTATAAGGGCAGGTGTGTGCACGGGCGGGGGTGTGTGTGTGTGCGTGGGGGGCATTAGCCCTACAAGTCGAAGCCCTAACCCTAATGGGAAGGGTGGTCCTAGCTGTGGCGGGAGGGAGGGAGGGTTGTTTGGGGGTTCGAGGCGGGTGAGATGGAATGGGGTGAAGGGTCTTCTGCGGTGACACTGCCCTTTGCCCACAGTCGCTGGAGGTGGCTCTGAAATACTGCAACTACATGTTCACCACCACCTTCGTGGTGGAGGCAATCCTCAAACTGGTCGCCTTCGGATTGAGGAGGTTCTTCAAAGACAGGTGAGAGCGAGGGTGGGGGAAGTGGGTGGGCAGAGCAGGGGAGGGGGGGAGAGGGAAGAGGAAATGGAGGGGGAAGGAGGTGGTAAAAGAGGGAAGAGTAGAAAGAGAGGAGGAGAGAGAGAGAGAGTTGAGTGAGGGGGAAGACACAGAGAGAGATAGGGAGGCAGAGATGGATACGGAGATGTGGAGAGCAGGAGAGAGGGAGAGGTGGGGGAGGAGAGGGAGGGACACAGAGCAGGAAAGAAAGAGGGAGGGTGTGGGGAGACTGAGAGACAGACTGTGTGTGGGGTGGGTGGGGGGGGGGTGTCTGGCGGAGACTGAGTTGTGTGTCTGTTGCAGGTGGAATCAGCTGGACTTGGCCATTGTGTTGCTATCAGTGATGGGCATCACATTGGAAGAGATTGAGATCAGAGCTGCTTTGCCGATTAACCCCACTATCATCCGCATCATGAGGGTCCTCCGCATCGCCCGAGGTGAGAGAGCAGCCCTCCGACACCCCCCAACAAACTCCGACACCCCCCAACAAACTCGACACCCCCCCAACAAACTCCGACACCCCCCAACATACTCGACACCCCCAACAAACTCCAACACCCCCCAACAAACTCCGACACCCCCCCAACAAACTCGACACCCCCCCCAACAAACTCCGACACCCCCCAACAAACTCCGACACCCCCCAAACTCCAACTGCGAAACTCATTTAGATTTTATATTGTAAAATTGTGTGTGTTTCCCCCCTTCCCTCCCCCCCCCCCCCCCCACCCCACCTCCCCGTCCCCCAGTGCTGAAACTGCTGAAGATGGCCACTGGGATGAGAGCTCTCCTGGACACAGTAGTGCAAGCTCTTCCGCAGGTAAGACTCCAGATCTCCAACCTCTCTCTCTCTCTCTCTCTCTCTCCCATCTCCGGCCCATCCCATTCCCAAAACGGATCAAATTCCCCCCCCCAAAAAAATGAGGTACAGATCAGCTACGGATCAATAGAATAGAATGGCGGAACAGGCTCGAGGGGCTGAATGGCCACCTCCTGTGTTCCTATCAATCCCCAATTCCCAAAGGACCAGATCCCAACAGATCAATGGAAGTCGAAGGCAGAGACATTAACATTTTGTTCTGTCCTCGTGTCCAGGTGGGAAACCTCGGTCTCCTCTTCATGCTGTTATTTTTTATCTACGCTGCACTGGGGGTTGAGCTGTTTGGCAGATTAGGTAGGTCTCCCTCCTCTCTCTCTCTCTCTCTCCCCCTCTCCCCCCCCCCCCCCCCCCCCCCCCCCCCCCACTTCTCCTCTCTCTCACTCACTCACTCTCTCTCA